GGCGCAGATCCTGCCTTGGGTCTGATTATCATATGGTCGTAGCGGAACTTGCCATATCGCATCGACCCGGTCTTGGTCGAAACACATCAGCTGCTTGATGTCGACAGGTTAAAATATAACGAAATAGCCACAGTCAGCCTACCAAAAAGGAAGTAAAGAGTTATTTTAATGCTACTCTTAGTGCCCGTTACACAAAGACTACAAAGAAGCCGACATTTTATCGGTAGAAAACGGAGAAGACCCTATCTCTTAGAGTGCAAAGGAATCAGCAAAAAAAGGGGTAGTGCAACACCGTAATTTACCCTGAAACACAACCCATCGCTGCGTCGTTCGTGTAGTCAACCGGAGCTACAGGTGGGGCAAAGAACATTAGCCCCAGTGGGAAACTGCAAGATCGACAAAGCAGGGTGAGTGGCCAACAGCGTTTAAATGGATGAGACAGTTATCCGATTTTTTCTTATCCACGACGCTAACTGTGTCCAATGGACAGATCAGAAGGTACGTATCAGAAGACAGACTATGAATTTCCAGCAGCTGCTCAACGACTGCCATCCAAGTCCGTCACTGCCGTCCGTTAAATTCTATGCCAATACTAGACGTTAGCTGAGACCTACCCAAGAAGCTAGAAATCCAAAAAAGCCTTGCTACACTTCAAGATAAAAAAGGCCTGCGGATCGAATTCCTGGAGTTAATTAACTACGGAGGAACGGGAATGGCAGAAAAGCTCCATGACGTGCTTCAACAAATGTCAACCTACAAACGTTTTCCAGAAGAATGTGGTATCGAGTAACTGACCCCATCGAGTGATCGAGTGTTCCAGCTATCATGGTATCATCTTAATGTAAACTGCTGGGAAACTTTTCTTCTGGATAATCCTTTAAAGGCAAAAACAGACAATGCACGATAGACTTCGGCCTAATCAAGCGGGTTTCCGGATGGGATACTCTTTCCCCGATCAGAGTGCAATGATGAAGATTCTAGGTGCCTTGATTTACGAGTTTAAGACCGCATTTGATTCAGCACAGCATTCGAAAATCTGGAAAATCTTGAAATACTATGGCATAAGTAGGCACATTACTTCTATCCTGGAAGAGATGTATGCAGGCACTATGTTCAAGATGAAAGAGAGCTATCCACATAGTGCCTTATTAACTATCGATTTCGCCAGGGAGAAATCCATGCCACGGACCAGGCAGCTTTCAGGTCTGCTATTAGTTCTCTGTAATGGTGTTGATCATGCAAAGACAAAGGTATCATTCTAGAGGGAAGGGGCAAATCAAAATAATCGGCTGGATGTTAGAGTCAGCAAACGATACTGCCTCGATGACTGGAATGGAGAGTGAGTTCTGTCATCTGACGACTTCTGCAACACGGCTGCGAAAACCGGCTTCGTCCTTGATACCCGAAAGTCAGAATTTATGAGGAACCCTTCCGGTACAGCTGATCTACAACTGGAACAGGAAGGTGAAGCCTTTTAGGGGGATGTTCAATCCATGTATCTAGGCTTCATCATCTCCATGTATGAAACTGTCCAGACAGAGTTAAATAGGAGGATCGCCATGACCTGAAGTGCTTTTGGAAAACCGTCCAATATTTCGGCTACATAAAGAGCCACTTTTCCTACAAAAATCTGTCCATATCTTGTCTCTGTCAGGACATTACTGTTGTATGCCCTGGAGCAGCTGTTCTAACGAAGGAACAAGAATTGCGTACTGCCGAGTTGGCTTCGACAGATTAGGAGGTTTTAATGGCAAGGCCAAGTAAATAACGACTCTGTTCTCTTCAGGGCACAAGTGACCCAGGTAGATGTAGAAATTCAGAAAACCAGACTGGCACTGCTTGACAAACTGGTTGAGCATACAGAATTTACTCCAACCCGTGAATTTCTCGTGCGAAAGCCAAAACAGACGTTTACCACATCTCCAGCATACAACATGGAGGAACAAGGTAGAGGCAGATGAGTGATATTTCCTTATGCGATATAGTAACCGGTGCCTCGAACATCACATGACACGATACCTAACCTGGCATCATTCACCATGGTAACGAGCGACGGTTTCAGCATAAAGTTGTTGACGAATGGTGACGAGCTGATCGGAAGAGCAAGACCATCGCAGGCATACATCTAACCCTCTATCCCCTTCACATCGAGCACGAACCCACCTCTCCGTGAATGGCTTATTTTGAACCTGATTCAAAGTAAGCGAGGCTCCTCCCGCGATGCGACTAGATAATAGAACATTAGTTGTTTGTTGAGATCATAGCACTGAACCGTTTGCATGACCAGAGCGTCTCCGGTTTGTGATGTCATCAATATTAGCAGCCTTTCAACACTTTTGCAGTGGTATGCCAGTTTCCTTGTAAAAGGAGATATTCCTCTCAAAAAGCAAATATGACTCCAACCTGTTGCACAGAGATCTCCTGGAAAAACAAAACCCGTGTTTTGCGTCTCAATGAGAAGCTCGAATGCTGAAGTAGCTGGTTTCTACCTCAACAAATCTGCCTAACAGGGTCGACCTCATTTTCCTCATCTTCACCTCAACTACGGTTTCTCTTCCTAGAAGACTGACTGCGCGGTGCTTATTAACCATATTGCCATGCTTAGACCAAATCAACGTTGCTGCACGCAGTTCAACCGTCGTTCTTGCTACTTGGCTAGAACAAATGTCTCCATGCTATACAGCAACATTAAGTTGCCAGAGGCAAGGAACAGACAGATTTTTGTGGAAAGATTCATTTGTTTCTCAGCGTAAATATTGGATAGGCTAACTACAACTAAAAGAAACGAGGTTAATCCTCATTTATAGATCTGAAGAAATATTACATTTGAATTTCCTAGAAAATAAGTGATTATACACATTGTAATGATGATTCATTGCCAACTGTACGACTCTGCGGTCGCAAGTCAGTGCCATTCCCTTCGTAGAAACGGTAAAACAACTACAAAAAAATTTTTGCACGTTTCTGAGAAGCAACAAGTGCGCACAGACTATCTACTAGAAAACCTGTAAGCCAATGATTTGAGGAGCTTCATCGATGATGAATTAACTGCTAATCTCTGCCATACGTAACATCTGTCCTCATGTCCCCGTATAACGTTCGGACATGGCATTCTTTACTGTTTTAGATATTATTATTTGTAAAGAACCACAGTTCCCGTATGAAGACTTCCATTTAGCAGGCTACCTCCACGTATTCACAGCAATATTGCGAAAGGTAGAATTTCAACTTCGCCATTAATAAAAACACTCGACTGTTAGATCTGATCTGTATCTGGCTGTCAGATAAGATAAGCAACAGCTGAGAGCAAGGGAGCAGTAGTGATCGATTCGGTTGAACGTCAAAGTCAATGATCTGCACAACTGCAAATCGAAACGACACTGACACAGAACAAGAAGACATATTTATGGATCGAAACTTTTCCTGTTAACAGTTATCACGATAAACCATCCCGTAGCTAGAAATCTGGTATGAAATGGCACAAGAACAGAGAACATTTTTAACAATATAATAGTAACTTAATAAACACTTAATAAACTGCAAAACCGTAACTTATGAGGAACACTAAGAAATAAAATTTTATCAACAGGAAACTTTCATAAACTGTTTTAACCATTCTTTATGATTTATTTAAGATTTGTAATTAAGAAATCAAACAACCGCCATTGAGAAAAATCAAAAACAGACCAGAACTACTAACCGCAATTATTTTGCTTTGAATTTTCCATACGAAAATCCCCATTTTTCTTGGCCTTATAAACATGACAGTGAATATGCAAAAAAACTCATTTAATTTTCTAACACAGGAAGTTTTTTTAATTAGCTGAACAGTATGCTCAGCTCAGAAGTTGAATTACTCAAATTTGCAGACAGTGGCCAGTAGAAAACGATCAATAATTCTTTTTCTTAGTGGATCCATCAAATCAGAGTTACTACGACAAGAGACAGGTACCTGAAAATAGAGACCAACATATGGTATGTCTAAATAAACTGCTTATACTGTATTATACAAATCAGTAGATAGAGAGAGGAGAATATGCAGTTGTTCAAAAAAGAAATAAAAATGAATTATTTTATTACGCAAAGTATACGAATTGAATGTATGTCATCCCTAACCTGCAACTCATAGAGCTCATTGCTGTACCGACCGTATTCGACCATACCGCCGAAAATGATGATGCGGGTAGTGTCGCAGACGATGCCATAGGCAGCGCAGCCAGGAGGAATCTCGCCGCGAACAGTGGGGACAAACCACTGGTTGGTCGCTGAAACAGGTCTTTCAGGACGAGTTCAATATTTACTAAACATCATCGGTCTTACCCGTATTGTAGACGTGAAGCTCATCGACGATTCCTTCGTTTCCGCCTCCAAAAACGATCATCAGGTCCTTGATAGAAACGGCACGGTGGCCGTGTCTCGGTCGGGGTGTTGGACCGCTAGTATTTGTCACCTTCTTCCATTTGGCGATGGGTGGGATCGACACCCCAGCACCAACTATCAAGCTTCCCGGCACCTGGTACATTTAGGAAACGGGGGACCAGACACCGACAACAATCTTTACCGGGTATTTTGCAACGCTCGCATAAAGCGCGACGCTCGCCTTTTACAGATGGCTAAACGTTGTGATCGTCAGGTACATTATTCGTTGAATCCATGAAAACAAAGAACACTTATGAACTCCCGATGTGTATGTTCGCGATTCCCCTGCAACAAATGCGTTGCTTCTGCAAATTTGATTGATTAATAATTATTGAAATATTTTTATTCATTTTTTAACGATTTTTGTGCAAATTTCCGCTACATAGATAAAAAACAGTTCCATTTTATCTGTTTTCTCAAAACAATAGCAAGTATGTGTTCCTGAAGTGACGTTGATAAAAAGCAAGACGGTACCTTGACTATCATAATCATATGAAAC